TGCCTGTCCCTGATAGGCTCTCCAGCAGCCTGCCTGTCCCTGATAGGCTCTTCAGCACCCTGCCTGTCCCTGATAGGCTCTTCAGCTGCCTGTCCCTGATAGGCTCTCCAGCAGCCTGCCTGTCCCTGATAGGCTCTCCAGCAGCCTGCCTGTCCCTGATAGGCTCTCCAGCAGCCTGCCTGTCCCTGGTAGGCTCTTCAGCTGCCTGTCCCTGATAGGCTCTCCAGCAGCCTGCCTGTCCCTGATAGGCTCTCCAGCAGCCTGCCTGTCCCTGATAGGCTCTTCAGCAGCCTGCCTGTCCCTGATAGGCTCTCCAGCTGCCTGTCCCTGATAGGCTCTTCAGCAGCCTATCAGTGTCTCTGCTTAAGTCCAGCCCTTGGTTTCCTTTTTACCTTTTTTATTAAATATATATATATATATATATAAAACGATATATGTGTATTCTATTTGGGATATACTGTACTATGTCTTTTTATCCATTTTTTAACATACTATGTTTTTTAATGATTTTTTTGTAGACTCTTACACTTTTAGGATGTTTTTCCAAACATATACTATGACCTTTTCATGGATTAATTTGTTGGTCTAGCTATACTCTGACATTTTATCAGAATAAATGTACATACTATAATACGACTCAACTATTTTTTTCTCAACATACTAAAGCATGAATTTGTATTATTTCTGTTCATTTGGTGACTCCTATAAAAAGGGACAGCAGAATGATTTCACACATTAAACTTCAATCACAAACAAAACAACAAAAAGATTATCTGAGGATTTTATTTAGAGAATCTCCGCTGAGTCACTGCTCTGCAACGTCCAATCAGGTCTCAGCAAACATTTCCTGTGGCTCCACGATCCAAAACTAATAGTCCTGTTATTTAAACCCTCAGGTAAGTGCTGCTCAAACTTAAAGAAGTGACTTCATTATGATTTAGAAACCAGAAGTGATTTTATTGAACTGAATCCTGCAGGAAGTCCGGGCTGAGCTTCCTGTCCCGTGGTGCGTTCAGGCGTTCAGGAACTTTGCGTGATGTTTGATGTGATCGCTCATGAAGGAGTAGATGAAGAAGTAGCTGTGGTCGTATCCCTGCAGCACAAACACAACACACAGCTTAAAAACTCCACATTTCATGCATTAAGTGAAGAATCTCTGAAAGAAAAGAAGAGATTTTACCTCCTGAGATCTTTAAACGTTATTTTCCATTCACAGAAAATAAATAAACAACTATTTCTATAATAAAAGAGAGATTTAAGACCAAACCAACCAAAGAAAAAGAGCTTTTATAACCCTCCTGGTTAAGTAATCAGAGCAACAAATGAATGGTGTTGTTTGAAAATAATGGGTTCAAGTGCATTGAGGCACGAAAAATCAAATTAAAGGTTAAATAAAAAAATGTGAAGCCAATTATTATTATTATTATTTAATTAAGAGTACAATTGATGCTTTTGGAAAAACTGGTTATTAATCAAATGCAGCTTTAATGAATTTACTTTGAGGTTTAGGGGTTGATTTGGATGAATTCAGTCCCAAAAGGACGTGTTTGTGTTTTAACATCAGTGTGGAGCTGGATCTCTAACAGCCACCGTGTAGAAAAGGAAAACGTGTGATTATTGTTTTATAATCTCTAAACTAACAACATATTTTACAAACAGGAAATGAGGTACTCGGTCAGTGTGAGCACGAGAGGGCGCACTAACAGAGCGGAGGATTCACTCTGAGAACATAAGATCAAATCGACTCCCTAATTGGTCATTCCAAAAACTTTGATAAAAACATTATATTCAAATATTTTTTTTCACCACTTTTTTGGGTTCAATTTTTAAAGCAACTTCAGTCCTAATGAAGAATATAAAATATTTCATCATTTTCAGGATTTTAACCCTTTAAATGCCATTTTGAAAACATTAAATCACTGTTTTCCATATAATACATATCTGGGGAGTGGCTTCTTTTTCTTTTTTATCACAGTCTTGGATATGTCACAGATAGTGAGAGTAGAGAGTGATACGGAGGATGACGGTTATAAAGACACGTGTTTCTGAGACACTTTAAAGAGGCGTTAGACGTACCGGCTGCAGTCTGAAGACGACGGGGATCTTCTTCTCGGAGCAGACGGCAATCAGGTTGTCAGGCAGCAGCTGATTGGCCGACAGGAACCGATCGTCCCGCCCCTGACCGATCAGGACGTCCAATGGGGGGCCAGAGTAAGAAGCAGCCAATACTGTGGCATCCTATGGCTGGAACACACACACACACACACACACACACACACACACACACACACACACACACACACACACACACACACACACACACACACACACACACACACAGTCAGTCAGTCAGTCAGTCAGTCAGTCACACACACAAAAACACACAGGACGCACAGATGTTAAGGGAGACGTAATCACTAAATCCTAAAGGAGTGCCGCACAGATCCAAGTTTCTCTCACCTTTAATTATGATTTATTTATTAATGAATAAACCCTGATATCCTGAGAACAAAAGAGAACACAGGAGAACAAAGGAGAACACAGGAGAACAAAGGAGAACACAGGAGAACACAGGAGAACACCAACCCAGTCTCACATCTAAACGTGTAATAACTACGTTGGTCCACAACTTGGGACGTAGTATTTAAAAAAAACAAAAAAAACGCAATTCATTTCCAATGGCTAGCGTCTATGTCACGTGATCTTCAAATTTTTCCCCGCAGAAAAAAAAAAACGTGGCCAACCTTCGTTTTATTCTCGGTGGAAAATGCCTATTTTAAAGTTAGTTTGGCCATTAAAATGTGTTTTGATGTCATTTGATGCGAGAAATGCGAGTTGTTATTTCAAAAATATTTGTGCGGTGGATGTACATGGTCTTTAGTTTGCTAGTTATTACGAAGATTACTACAGGACATTGTACACATTCAACGTTTTCATGGTTGCTAAGGTGGTTGCCATGGATGCTGCTTTGAAATCTGTGTAAAGTTGGTTTAGTTTAAAGCTGCGTTCTCTGATTTTGACCAATAGGGGGCAGTACATCATGGAGTCTAATGAGGGATGTGTTATTCTTTCATATGGTCAAATTTAAATTACCAAACGGAGGATGGTCTGGTGGTTCCTCGGTTATCGCTCCTCCATTATTGCTCCTCGCTCCTCGGTCCTCGGGCAAAAATAAAGCCATTGGGACGCTACTCAAGATGGCGCAGACAAATTAACTTCCGGTGAGACCGAGACCGAGGAAATGAAAAATAAGAGAAGTGAGAAGGGCCCCAGGGCACAGCAGCCAATATGGCCACTCAAAGCAGCTTGACTTTACACTGTGTGGGATTGGTGGATTTGTGTGTCCGTCAAGGAAATCTCGGCCGGCAGCCATGATGGTCTGAAATGACCAATGGACATCGAGAAATCACTAAGTAAAAAAAAACATAAACCACGTGTCTCCCATCAGTTTAGTCTGTGAGGAGAAAGAGAGAGACAGAAAATGGCTTAAAAAAAACTTTACAGTCCACGACTTTGATAGAGATTTTTCTCGCTAGCAGCAGTGAAG